GCTGCTCTATCACTACTTCCATGAAAAGTACTTGAATGAACTACATTCCTTGGTTCTGCCATGTCTAAACTTCACAGCTAGGACCTGCCATACTACTTACATAGTAGCAAACCCACCCATATTCCCTCAGCACTCAAACGGCTTCTCCTTGCAAAAACATTGCCCTGTGGAACAGGCTCCCAAGAGGATTTTTTTTACTAATCACTACAATCTTAACCTGTTCATATCTAAAGTCAACCGTTATCTTCCCCTCCATATAAACTACCCCTTATCATAACCCTCTACCTTGAGTGGCCCCTGGGCCTTGTACAGGGTGAACCTTACTGTAAAAGAAATCGCTGTCCTATTGAAGTATAGGCCATTTGCTTTGGCCTTCTTTAACTTTTAATTTGAATAAAAGTGGAAGGTGATTATCTTTGCAGCCAGTGTTTGAGTATGCTGTAGTTTTTTTTTCCTTTTATCATTTCACCCCAAGGAAGGTGATGAAGCCACTAAGAAAGCTCATGAAAAAAATCACCATGAAAATATTTATAGACAAGTTAAATGTTCTGGTGATGGGGAAAGTGATTGAAGTTGAGATAACTAATAATAACTATGGGTTTGTGACTAATAATATAGATCTCAGTCTAATAATTGTAATAATGGATCCATGATTAATAATAATAATGATCCATTGCTAATAATAATAATAGATCCATGGCTAATAAAAACAGGGGGTTCATGAATAATAATAATAATCATATGTCTGTGGCTAATAATAATAATAGGTTCATAAATAATGATAATAATAATAAACAAAGTATTTGTGGATGATCTCAAACTGTTTGACAAAGACAAGAGATTTGAAATTTCTCCTCAATACTGTAAAATATTTTGGTGATGAAATTGGTATGGATTTCAGATTAGATAAATGTGTAAAAGTAAATAGATCTAGATTTTGTCACAAGTATTAGGGAACAAGAAGAAGCCTATAAATACCTCAGAATCAGTGAAGGAAATGGAATACAGCATACACAAATGGAGGTGAAAATAAGAAAAGAATACTGATGTTAAATACCAAGTTGAATTCACAAAACACAATACTAGCCATAAATACTTTGGCTGTGTGTGGTGCAATACAGTTTCAATATCCTTAATTGCACCATAGCTGACGTTAATTGAATGGATGTCAAAATGAGAAAGCTTCTCACTTGCCAACTCATGCATCATCCTAAGGCTGATGCTGATCATTTGCATGTGTCCAGATCCAAAGGAGGCAGAGGATTAGTTCAACTAGAATTGTCTCAAAAAATCACAACAATCAGAATGGAAACTACAGAAGACTGGATGATGATCTGTATCAAAGAACATGAAAGAAATAAGTTTATTCAGTAATAAAGAAAACCAACAAATTCAAAAGGGAATTTCAAGTGGGTGAAGAAGTGTGAATAAGCCATAATACACCTACTGCAGCAGCAAAGAACCTAAAAAAAGAAAACAAAAGAAAATGCAATGTACTAAATGTAAAAACAATCGTAAGATAAGTCTCTTTATGGTCAATAGTCTGCCTGTAGCAAACAAGTTGATGTAGATAAAATCCTGTAACCATCAGTGTTCACTTAGTGCAGTGTTAAAAGCTGAAACTGAAGGTTTTATTCTTGCTGCACAGGACCAATAATTGCTAACTAGAAATTACCAAGCAAACATACTAAAAAACTGTTTACCTGAACTGCAGATTCTATGATGAATATCCAGAAACAATCAACCATATTGTATCAGGCTGTACAGTATTAACATCCACCAAATATAAAATTTACTATGAGAGAGTGGGCCAATATTTGCACTTGAAAATCTGCAACTTTTATAAGAAAGAAACTGTAAGAAATTGGTACAAATACCATCCAGACTCGGTTACAAACATAGGGTCTGTAAGAATTTTATGGGATTTTATAATTCACACACAACAATCAAAGCTATTTGCCCAGACGTAGTGATTAAAGACCACAAAAAACAAAATGTGTTTCTTATTGACATGGCATTTCTTACAGGATTTAATGTATCTGAAGATCTTCAAAATTCAAGGGTCTTGAAGCAGAAATCTCAAAAATGTGGCACATGAGGACATCAATAATTTCAGTTGTGGTTGGAGCCCTAGGTTTGATTGGAGGGTTTCCTGGTAGCCCATACCTTAATGAAATACAAACAAATTTTACTCACAATTACAGCTCATGCTTTATGAAAGGCTTTATCTATGTAAAATGTGTGTGCTCTTAGGTTAAAAAGATTTAGTGAAAATGTCATGATGCCATTTTAGACTTTGTCTCTTGTTGGGCCCAAAAGGAAATGAGTATGCAACAGAAATCAAAGTAAATAATAAAAATTTTTTTAAATAATTTGAGCCAATAATAATAATGGGCAAATGGATAATAATGATGATGATGTATCTGTAAGAAATAATAATCCCTCATGAGAGAAATCCAGGTTTTAATTTATTCACTGGAAAGAAATTTTACCTCAAAATGAAAAATAACAAACTTTAAGTAAATGAAAATTCAATTTTAATAGATTTATTTAGACACTTCTCTACAAGGTCAGAACGAGACACAAGAACAGGTTTAGTGTGAGGGTGGAGATAAAACTTGTTCTTTACTCTTGGCACTTGGAAAATTCACCAGATATCAAGTATTGGTACTCACTGAGACGAGGTGCAACCCTTGGAAGCAGATATGCTTAGAGATGACTGGGCTTCTGTCACAAGAGCCAACATTAAGTTGATTTAATGCTGATTATACAGAGCTGAAATCAATTGGTCTTTAGCAAAAATGGAACAACCCAAAGTGTTAACGAGTTAAAAATTGACGACATCAATTAAATAGAGAAATTTAACTATTTGGAAAATTTTTTAATAGTTGACAGAAAATATGATACTAGGAACCAAAGCTTCATTGAGATAATGAAAGATGCCTCCCAAAAGCCAAACAAAGTATTAAGAAAATTTCATTAGCAATAAATAAAAGTGCTGGAACATTATGTAATATCAATCCTCCTGTATGACAGTGATACAAGTTCAAATCAATTGGCAATTAACTGATGTTTTGCCAGCCATTCTAATAACAATGTAATAAACAGTGTAAATAATCTGTTCATTATTTTTGTTAATAAATGTATAAATTTACTTTCATGTATTGAGGTTTTACTAAAATTCTAATCATTTTTTAAAACAAACATTGCTTACTGACAACACCCTTACACGTAACACTTCCCTTACCAACTGCAACAGAAGAACCGCATATCAACAATTTTACTACACATCAATCACTGAAAATCAATCACTACACACTGTTGAAATTTTAATCCTTGCTTGTTCATTCCTTTGTGACCATGCACTCGTTATAAGATCTTTGTTGTTGTGATCACAACATTTTGACAATTTTGTCCTCTGGCCTATATCAGGTGTATGTTGACCTGGTTAACCTACAGAGAATTTCAAACCAAACGCTTTATTTAATCTATGGGCAGATTACCCTGCCCATGTCCAGGGATAATTTCTAGTGAGTCCAAACATACAGGGATTGAACTCACAATTACTGTCACCAAATTCATGAACCAATGTTTTAATCCACTAGGCTGTTGTCCTGTGGGACAATTCTGTGAGAAAAACTTTGAGTCTTAAAACTAACCTGGCTGTTGATGAGTATTGTTGCTGCTGCTTGTCATGCTTGACTGAAGATTTTCTATTTTGTTACAGTATTTGCTGTCATTTGTTTCTCTCTCTCTCTCTCTCTTTATTAACAGCTCCCATATTCTGTCTGTATTTCTGAGATGACGTATTATGTACACTATTTACGCTATTTGGACTATTGTCCTCATCTTTGTTGCCATATTTATTACAACATTCCGGCCCTTCAGTACCTGTCTATATTTATGAGATGAGGTATTAAGTACACTAATAACATTATTTGGACTATTGTACTCATCTTTGTCGCCATATTTATCACAACGTTTCAGCCGTTGTATGCTCAGGCCTTCTTCAGGTGGTTCAAATGTTAAACTGAACCCTTTCATTTTATTAGGTTTATAATATCCAGAAATTTATACACAGATGTCTTCAAGGACACATGGCACAGTGGATAAAGGTGTTATTTAGATTCAGTGACAGTACCCAAAGAGTGTGAGTTCAATACCCGGTTAAGGCAGTGGAAAACTTGAAGAGGGGAATAAACAGGAGATAACTGATAACTGACATCCATTAAACATGGCACGTGGAATTAGAATAGTCTACCCCAGTGAGCGAAATAAAGGGTTCAGTTCAACATTCCAAAATTCTTCCTGAAGAAGGCCGAAATGTTGTGATAAATATGGCAACAAAGATGAGGACAATGGTCCGAATAATGTAAATAGTAAGCTCCCATGCTTGGCCTACTAAGGGGTTCCTCATAGCTTAGCATATGTGCTGATTCTTTCAGACATCAAAATCTCCAGTGTTCTTCCTTGTCCAGTATTTTCCTTTCACTCCCTGTTTGGGGGGTAATAATGATTACCCTTTATTATCCAACATAATATTTTCTAAGGTTCTAAATGCGATGATTATCTTCTCTTCATTCATAAGCAGAAATAAGAAATATGGCAATAGTTGTGATTAGAATTGCTTTTAATCCTTTGCTTCTGACAAAATGGTGTTTCTCTTCAAGACTTTATTTCATGAAAATCTGTGATTTTTCACTATGTATCATATTTAGTAAATAGGCTTTATTTACAAAAGTTTTGAAAATTCCTGATGAAATTCCAAAAATAAAAGAAAGACAAAATGAAAACAAAAATAAAATATTTTCACAAACTGGAAATGAAAAAATTATTATTTTATGATGAGAAAATCATTCCACTGAATTTTCTTGAAAGAAATGAAATCTCCTTTCATTCATAATTTTTTTTTGTTTTTCTGGATTTATTTTGGTTTTATTTTTTGGATTTGTTAATTATTTATCTCCTTTGTTATTCAAATCTTTTTCTATCTCTTAAGAATGATCCTCCTTTTCTTTCAATTATTTCTCTCTCTCTCTCTTTCAATTCTCTCCCTCCCACTTTTTCTTTCAATTCTCTCCCTCTCGCTCTCTTTCAGTTCCATCTCCCTCTATCTTTCAATTTTCTCCTTCTCTTAATTCTCTATTTCAGTTCACTCCTCTCTCTCTCTCTCTCTCTCTCAGTTCACTCCACTCTCTCTCTTTCAGTTCACTCCTCTCTCTCTCTCTTTCAGTTCACTCCTCTCTCTCTCTCTTTCAGTTCACTCCTCTCTCTCTTTCAGTTTCCTCTCTCTCTCTTTCAGTTCACTCTCTCTCTCTCTTTCAGTTCACTCCTCTCTCTCTCTTTCAGTTCACTCCTCTCTCTCTCTCTCTTTCAGTTCTCTCTCTCTTTATTTCAGTTCTCTCTCTCTCTTCATTTCAGTTCCTCTCTCTCTCTTTATTTCAGTTCCTCCTCTCTCTCTCTTTATTTCAGTTCCTCCTCTCTTTATTTCAGTTCCTCCTCTCTCTCTTTATTTCAGTTCACTCCTCTCTCTCTTTTATTTCAATTCCTCCTCTCTCTCTTTATTTCAGTTCCTCCCTCTCTCTTTATTTCAGTTCCTCCTCTCTCTCTTTATTTCAGTTCCTCCCTCTCTCTCTTTATTTCAATTCCTCCCTCTCTCTCTTTATTTCAGTTCACTCCTCTCTCTCTTTATTTCAGTTCACTCCTCTCTCTCTTTATTTCAGTTCACTCCTCTCTCTCTTTATTTCAGTTCACTCCTCTCTCTCTTTATTTCAGTTCACTCCTCTCTCTCTATTTCAGTTCACTCCTCTCTCTCTTTATTTCAGTTTCCTCTCTCTCTCTCTTTATTTCAGTTCACTCTCTCTCAGTTCCTCCTCTCTCTCTATTTCTCTCTCTCTCTCTATTTCAGTTTTCTCTCTCTCTGTTTCAGTTTTTCTCCTCTCTGTCTCAGTTTTTTCTCCCTCTCTCTCTCTGTTTTTTCTCCTCTTTCAATTCTCTCTCTCTCTCTCTCTCATCAAGTCAGGCCTTAAAATTCTTTTTTCTGGGCTTATTTTTTATGTTTTCCTTTCTTCTGAATCTTTACATTTTTTTTGCTTCTTGCCTTTTTGCTTTCTTTATTAATCTCTCTTTTTTTCCTCACCCCCCCTCTCTCTGTCAATCTTTCTTCTTTTCTCCTTCCTTGTATTTTCTTCCTTCATATCTATTTTTGCAATTTATAAAAACCGTCCTTTTCAACTCTTTCAGTTGAAATTTCCACTCATTTTAAAGTTAAAAGGATTGATCTTCCATTTTTGGTTTATCTGCTCGAAATTTATCTTTCTTTTGTCATTTTTTTTCAAACTATCTGCATTTGATAAATAACCATTTATTCTTGTGTAGTTTTGTTGTGCTTTGGCTTTAAAGCTGCCTTTCCTGCTTTTCCTCCTTTCATCTTCCATTTCCATGGCAATAATTAAAGAAAGGTTCAAACCTGAAATAGAAATTGCAAACAGCAAATTTTCACTTGAAAGAAAATTCCTTACAATCAATCTCCACAGCTTTGAAGACAACAAATATTCAAGTGAAGTAAAGAAACATTATTATTACATTTGAAAAACAATCTTATTTTGAAACCAACCAAAAACATTCAGTGTGTGCATGTGTATAATTACAATTATATAGTTATGAGTTGAATGAAAATCACAATAAATTATGCAGTACTTATTTCGATAACTGCATTACTTAAAATGGTTACTTGACTACTTATTTCATAATTTATCTATAACAGTAAATTGCATAGTGTGTTGCTTAAGAGTTTTTCAGACCTTATAAAAGTGGGTTAAAAGTATTAAATGTCAAAAACTTGAAATAATGCAAATTTATTATTCATTATGAATTTAAATTATTGTGCCAAAATTTCAGCACCATAGGGTTTTTACATGTTTTTTGTTCTTTTATGATGCCATTCATACCTAATTTTTTGTCCATCTCTAATCTTCTAGTCCACCACAATATCCTGCAACACTTCCATCAAATTTCTGTTTTTAGAATGCCATGGTTTTTACAGTCCTCATTTCTTTTTTATTGATGAATGTTCATCTAAAGATGATGATGACATTGAATAATTCAGTTGAGAAAAAATGGCTGATATTTTTGTCTACATAAAGACAAACAAGAAGAAATATCTTTATTAAAGTTATCTTCTCTTTATTAAGGCTATCTTCTCTTGATAAAAGGTTACAAAAATGTAAAAACAGTTTTAGTTGGCCATAATATAAGTGATGGATGGCTATAAAAAGGCACTGTCGATTATTTACACTTAATCTGTTTAAATAATGCGTTGACTATTGCTTGCATCACCTGGTAATAATTGTAAAATGATTCACTAAAATAAGTAACCATGTAGTTGTTTTAAGTTCTCTGAATGCCATTAACCCTAGAACACTAACCATCAATTAAAGTTACACCACTACTAACCATGGATATATCATACCCGATTTTGAAAATATAAAAAAATATATTAAATATAAATCTTTATTTGAAATATTTTACATGCAGGCACTTCAAACTTTGTACTTTAAGTTAACATTAATAGGAACTGAAAAACATATTATTTAGGTAAGAAAATCAGGTACTGAAAATTGTAATTAAAAATAAGAAAATTTGCACTGGGTACGATATACCAATGGTTAGTGTTCTAGGGTTAAGAATATGGATGAAACCTGACAATAAATAAGGAACAAGTACGAAATAAATTTAACATATTCACCAGTTATCTTAAGAAATTTTGGAAGTGGAATAATTTTCAATTGCATGTTTTGTTTTTATTGGTTGCGTAGACATTTTATCTGTGTGTGTTTAATACTTTAATCATTGACATAATTCAAGTGTATGTTGGAATATTCATGTATTGTATGATAAATATGATGTTAATGTGTACTGCTAATGTTTGGATCTTCTATCTACAATATCCCTTTAGGATGTTGGCATTCATGGCTCTTCACAACTTCCTGCCTTTTGTAGCTCTTAATAAATTTTGTCTTTTTGTGATCTCTCCTAAACCCTGGTACGCCACCTGTTTACTAAAGCTCAATAGGTAGATTATGTTGTTTTTCTCTCTCAGCCTGTCCTGTGAATACCAAATTTTCTAAGCCCACTTTCCTTATGTGCCCTATAAATTTCAATGTTTTCTTTCTGAAGTTAGTTATGTCTTTTTTTGTTTACATATTTTTTTAAAATTTTGTTGGAGCTCACATGTTTGGCCCATTGTATTCTCAGCATCCTTCTGTAGAACCACATTTTTTTATCTTAAGTCTCCTTTCCATCTGTGAAGCGATTGTCTAGCATGCCCTATCATATAGGAGGAGCAATATTACATAACTATTTGGCACTCGTTTCTTTGTTTCTAACAAAATTTTCCTGTTTCTTAATACTTTGCTTGGCTTTTGCAAGGTATCTTTCTTTAAGTATAGGCTTATATTGCTGATATAAAGAAGTGTGTATGGTGGGGTTTTATTCTATGTTGATTATTAATTAATATTTTGTCTAGGTATTTTCAGTTATTGTTAGTTTTTGAGGTGAAATTTTAAAATCAAAATTATGGCCTGTTTAGTTTCTATGTGATACTAGTTATAGTATATGTTTGTAGAGAAAATCAGACCATGTTTATAAAAAAAATATAAACAAAGAATAAGTATATTTCTATCATAAAGTCCTGTTGTAAAACTTCTAGTAATGCAAATATTTCTACTGTCAGGTATTTTGGACATTTATATCTGAATTAGATGTTGTATCTAATGTCTGAGTGTCACTTTAAGACTTAAATACAAGATACATGGTTAAAAGATTAAAATTGCCAAAAACACATACATCATAAAGAATAAGACAACCTCGTATCAACTCTCAGCTATAAATATAGAATTTGCTTAAAAACCAGTAAGTTCACCTCCATCAGTGGCTGTCACCTTTTAAACAAACCTACACCAAGTTTGATGTAACTCTGACTCTACAGATGTCTGAATGTTTCAGTGAAAAATTCTGGACACTTTTAGTTCATCGCTGACTTCAAATGGACTAATTGGAATCAATACTTGTTCTAACCAATCATTTGGTTCTACAGAAGAAGGTCAAAGTAGAAAATTCCTTTTCTCTTCCATTATATACACACCTTCTCCAAATAAAGACCAAACTTTGGTACATTTCACTTGTCTCAGTTTATGATTCATACAATTTGTTTCTAAAGTATTAGATTTTAAGTAGCAAATCATACACAAAAATATGGTCCAGTAGTTTTTTTACAGATGTGGACGCTACATATCAAAGGGACTAACATAACCATGCTACTGCAAGTGACATTTAATGCATGTTTTGGATGTTATAAGTAGGTTTGATTCTCCCACTGTATAACATTTGATTCTTCTGAAGCAGTGTCTTCATTTGATTATCATCAACTTCAAGTGTCAAGCATCCTTCAACTAGAAATCACCAGCATCTAACACAAATCACTTCAAATACAATTTACTCGTTCGCAGTACCTATATTTTTTGTTTCAAAGGCATTTTTGTTTTTACTTAAAATCCAAAAGGCATAAGATGTCAAAAAAGTTTGCTTATTTTCAATCAACAAAAAAATGATACTTTTGAAAAATTGAAAAACTTTTACACTCATGATAGCTATCAAAAGTAGTCTTTTTTTAAATAAAATTAGTTAAGAATAAACATTCCTAATGCCATCTGTACAGTTTTTGGCCTACACATTGTATATAGAGAAAGATGTACACACACACAGACTTTTCAGCATCTACTTTTTTATATATATATATATATATATATATATATAGGACAGTGCAGACATTAGCATCATCACTGTATGATGACTGTCAGTTTCCCCATTTTGAGCCCTGTAATTATGATCTGAATATCACTTGAGTTGTAAAATTAAGTCACCAGGCAATCTTTATTTCTATGTGTATGCTGTCTATTTTTATGAAAAGTTGATCTTTTTGATATTATAAAACACTCTTAGCCATTAATCATAGAAAATTTTAAACATGCATGTACACACAAACACACACACACACATATATATATATATATATATTTTCTGTAGTTCACTTCTACCAGTAAGCAGAAAATTATTTTTCTCCTGATGATGGCCATGTTGACCGAAACTAGTTAAGGAATCTAAATGAAATAATAATAAAAACAAAGGAATATTAATATACAACCCAGTGTGTCTGAAGATTTTAAGTTTTTTAATATTTTTCATTGTTCAAAATATATATATATATATATATATAGTTAGGCTTACCATAATTGAATCTTATTCCCATATTAGACTGAACAAGACTTGTTTTCTCTTTTTCTTCTGGATGAAATCAATCTTCATTATCTTGTCATCTTTTCCTTTCTTCTCATTGCTTTTTTTCTTTTTTTTTTTATCTTATTTTATTCCTTTATTTACCCCCTTTTACTTCCCCTTCCTTCCTTTTCATTCCTTCCTTCTCAACTCAAGTGATCTTGTCTTACAAATAATATATTATATTTTTGGGGGAGTCAGTTTCTTTTACAATCCAAGAAATCTTTTCCACCCAATCTATTGATAAATTTCCAATCAGATATTTCTCTCAAACACTGACGTTGGGCCACCTTCAGTAAACTGACATCTGTGTTATATCTTCATCATGTGATGTGCCACCCAGAAGCATCCCCATTGAATTTATCACGAGTATCCTCATCCGTGAATATAAATACTTACCACAAGCTGTGTCTATCATTAACAAAAACTGTCCACTTAAAACCAAATAGATTCCTGCTTTCCAACAGAAATACTCTAAATCTTTGAGATCCAATGATAAGTAGTCCACTACTGAGATATTAGTCAGCTAGTAATTTGTTGTGTGTATGTATGTATGTGTATATATATATATATATATATATAGCTCTGATTTTGAATGTAGATTTATGGCATACTGACACCTATATGATTATTATATTGTCTGACAATTCTTTTCAAGTAGATTTTTATAGTTTTTGATAGAAGATCAAATAATGTTTAATATTGTGTTGGGCCAATCCTCTAAATGGGGAAGGGTCTTTTTAAAAATTCCTTCTGGCATTAATGTCAAATATATAAAGACTTTGGCTGAAATTATATATTTTCATCATGTGTTTAGCTTTCAGATTCCTGTATAATAGTCAGAAAATGGTAAAAGTTTTTCCAAACCAAATTCTCACCATCCTTAATAGTCTATTCAAACTTCTGATTCTT